GAAGCCCCCGCTCGGCCGCCCCCCGCAGCCCGGCCCAGCCATGGCGGCCCCCCGCCCGCCTCCCGCGATCTCCGTCTCGGTGTCGGCGCCGGCCTTTTACGCCCCGCAGAAGAAGTTCGGCCCGGTGGTGGCCCCCAAGCCCAAAGTGAATCCTTTCCGGCCCGGGGACAGCGAGCCGACCCCGGCCGCGGGGGCCCAGCGTGCACAGATGGGTCGGGTGGGCGAGATCCCCCCGCCGCCCCTGGAAGGTATGCGACTGGGCTCGGGCGCTGGACCCCGGCGGGCGCCGGGCCCGGGGCAGTGGCTTCGGGAATTTGGGGGTGTCTGGAAAGGTTGCAGCGGAGGGGGCTGGGCGCAGCCACCCTGTCCCGAGCAGATGTTCTTACCTCATCGTGGAGCTCATGGCAGGGAGCCAGGGCTCCTGGGACTGTTCCAAGTCCCCCGCCTCGGGATGGGAGGCCGGAATGTGAGGCACGAGTCTTCCCCTCTGGGTCCGTTTTCCGAAGTGTAACCGGGAGCTGCACCGCCCCTGGGCCATGTCCTGGCCACTCCTGACCCGCCGCTCCCAGGGCGTCCTGCGACCCCCTCCCTTGCGCACACACCCTGGGACCCCGAGAGAGTTCCTTGGGTTAGGGGTAAGGACTGGACAAGGAGGGCCGCGGTAGAGGGCCCCCTTCCCCCGTGACCGCCCCCTCTCTCCTTCATACCCCAGAGTTCCCCTTACCTCCACCGCCCGTCCTTGCGGAGGGCGACGATGTGGAGGGCGCCCTGGGAGGCGCCTTCCCACCGCCCCCTCCCCCGATCGAGGAGCCGTTCCCTCCCGCGCCTCTGGAGGAGGACATCTTCCCGTCCCCGCCGCCTCCGCTGGAAGAGGAAGGTGGGCCCGAGGCGCCCCTACCGCTCCCACCGCAGGTAAGAAGCCGAGGGCGTGGGGGGCGCTGCCCCACCGGGACAGCACCGCAGGAAGGAGAGGAGGGCCCTTCACTGTCGCCTGCGGGCACCTCTGCCCTGTCCAGGGTGGGGTGTGAGTGAGGACCGGGTGGGGATGGGCCCTCTGACTCCTGACCCTCCAGCCCAGGGAGAAGGTGAGCAGTATTGATTTGGAGATCGACTCTCTGTCCTCGCTGTTGGATGACATGACAAGAAATGACCCCTTCAAAGCCCGGGTAAGGGACAGGAGAATAGGACACGCATGGCAGGACACCTTCCCGGCTCTAACGCCCGTCTCATCCCTCTGCCTCCCCTCGCAGGTGTCCTCTGGATATGTGCCACCCCCAGTCACCACGCCGGTCATTGCCAAGTCCAGTACCAAGCCTGCCACTGGGGTTACTGTGCCCCTGCCTCCTTGGAAGTCCCCTTCTAGCTCACAGCCTCCGGCTCAGAGCCACACCCAGAGCCCTGTGCCACCCCAGTCCCAGGCCAAGCCCCAGCCTAAGCCCCAGCTCCAGCCCCAGCCCCAGCCCGTGTCTTTGGCGAATGTCCAGGCCCGAGGTCCCCCAGCCCCGGCTCCAGCCCCGAAGTTCTCTCCAGTGACTCCCAAGTTTACTCCGGTGGCTTCCAAGTTCAGCCCTGGAGCCCCAGGTGGGCCCAGCTCACAGCCCATTCAGAAGTCAGGGCCCCCTGAAGTTCCCTCTTCCACGGGCACAGGTGCCCCTCAGCCCGCCAGCTTCACCTACGCCCAGCAGAGGGAGAAGCCCCGGGTGCAGGAGAAGCAGCACCCAGTGCCCCCGCCGCCAGCTCAAAACCAAAACCAAAACCAGGTGAGGGAGGGTGGCCGGGCCAGGTGAGGGGGGGGGCTGGGGTGGGGCTCAGTCAGGAACCAGAGAATGAGGGTGAAGCTGCCCGGGAGAGTGGGGTGGGCAAGGTGGGGGGGCAGGTGGGAGCTTTCCACCTGCGGAGAAGGTGGGAGAAGACTCTTGGGGAGGGGGTTGGGCCTTAGGTCTGGGGCTGGGTTGGGCCTGAGGGGTGGCCGGGCTTTGAATTGGGAGGAGGCTCCCTGGACCTCTCCTTGCACCTTGCCCCAGAATGTTAAAGGGGCAGGATGAGCTCATCCTCCATCCCACCTAGGTCCTGCCCACTTTTTGGATTCTTGAGTTAATCTGTCCCCTCCTCACCGCCTGAGGGCCTGTCTGGTGATAAGCCTGGAAGTTTGGTAAACACTGGCTGAGCCAGCTGTGCGCCTGCCTGCGTGCCTGCTTGTATGTGTGGGGGCTAGCCGGGTCCTGTGTGCTCAGGAGGGTGGGACCCCAGGAAGCCTGAGAGACTCCATGGGCCTGGGGTGGAGCCCCGGGCCTTGATGACCCTACCTGAGCCAGGTGAACTTTGAGCTTAAGATGCCCCTCCGTGAATACAGCACTGTCCTTCCCACGCTGTGGCTGTGAAGGTCAAGCGAGTTAAGGCACAGAAGGCGTCTGCACAGAAATGCTCAAAATAGAAAAGCCGTCTTTCCCTCAGCAGGAGCTGATCCCTCCTGCTGGGGGAGCCTGACCCCTCTAGAGCAGCCCGCCTTCGAGTGCACCCCGAGGTGGCTGTGCGTGTGTGCTCCGAGTGAGCAGCTGGGCCTGGTGCCCACGAGCTCTGCAGAAGCTTGTGTTACAGGAACTCCCAACGGGGAGTCGCATGGGCCGCTGGGTGAGGCTCCTGCCTGGTGTGCCTCAAGGATGGGTGGCACCCCAGAGTCAGGCCGCATCAGGTGGGGAGACACGAGGAAAGGCTGGGAGAGTAGGAAGTAGAGGCTGCGGGGGCGGTGACAGGTGAGGGGCTCGAGGGGCGCGGACGGAGGGCCCGGCCGTGTGGGTGGCTGTCCAGGAAGGCCTGTGACCACTGCTTGGGAGCTTTGGAGCAAGAGTTTCCAGCAGAGGCTAGGGGAGCAGGTCAGCGGTGTGGGGGTTCTGAGCTGCAGAGATGACACATGCGGTCCAGATACGAGAGCGGTTTTAGGCCGCAGTAACTGATAAACAGTTGGAAGGGAAGGGCGGGAGTTGGGAAAATGGGTGCGTTGGGGAGCACGGCCTTGCTGACAAAATAGAGAAGTCCAGAAGGGGAAATGGTTTGGACGGGAAAAGGAGGGGTTCAGCTGCGGTGTGTTGAGCAACTGCGTCCAGAAGGACTTTTCTTTCAGCTGGACGTGTCATTCAGCTAGAAATGGAGGGCCAGGTGTCCCGGCAGGCCGCCTGGACGTGTGCGCCCAGGAGCAGGGAAGACCGGGGGCCACTCTCAGTGACCAGAGCCCCCAAAGGGGAGTGAGGAAGGGGGGGCGGCAGACAGGCAGGGAGGGATCTCGAAGAGGATGTGATAGCCGAGGCCTTCAGCAAGGGCTTCCAGGATGAAGACTCATGTGAGGCCAGAGACTTGACTGGCGGGGAGTCAGACGTCGGTGGCTGTGGGTGGCCTTTTTGTGCCCTGTGGGCGGGACATACTGAAGGGAATTGAGGCGTGAGTGGTGGCCCAGAATGGGGTTGCCAGAGTGGCCTGCTCTGGAAGGCTGGCAGGGGGCTGCGGACTGCGGGGAGCCCCCAGCGTGTGCGTGTGTGGTTGGAGCGGGTGACAGGAGGGTCGTGAGGTGTGGGTGAAGTGACACCCCACCCCAGGGGCACCCCTGCCAGCAAGGACCCCCTCTCCAGCATTTTCTGGAGAGGGGAAAGATGAGGGAGCTTGAGCTGGCGGGTCTCCATCTTCTCAGTCACGGAGGAGGTGAGGTCATCCGTGAGTGAGGGGGCGAAGCAGTTGGGGGCTCAGCGGACAGAGAGGCTCGAAACAGCTGCTGTGGGAAGGCGACCGGGAGTCGCCGGAGCCAAGTCGCAGAGCTGGGGCCTGCCAGAGCCTGCCGGAGGCCCGGGCACAGCAGTGTGCTGAAATGCGCCCCCCACTACTCTGCAGCTTGATGGCAGAAACAGGAAGCGGGTGGTGGCGGGACAGGGGTTGAGGTTGGGTCAGATAAGCCCTGGTGGCCCAGGATGGTAAGCATGCCCCGGAGCCTGGCAGGAGTGAATGCCAAGGGGCCAGACTTGGCTGGGGGGCCGGAGGGCAGGGGAGGCCACTGCCCACAGGGTTCGGCCCTCCTGGTGCGTGCAGCGTGGGGGAGGACTGGACGCCAGCAGCGAAGGTCCCTGAGCAGGCTCATCTGCTGGGTGGCAGGAAGAGAGGAAGGCCGTGAGTAGAGACAGGTACCCTCAGGTCCACGGTGTCCCCTGGAGGGACACGGCAGCACTGGGCTGGGGAGCTGGAGGCCCGCATCCGGCGGGAGGCCGGGATGGTGGAGGCCCTGGGCCAGTTGACGTGTGTGAGTTGTCCCTAACAACAGGGATGTAAAGTGACACGAGGGCCAGGCCTGCTGGGTGCCAAGATGCCAGGCAGGGAGCACTGCGAGGGGGGAAAGGCAGAGCTTACCTGGCGGAAGGGGCGTCGGGGAGACGGGCCAGGCTGGGCTGGGGGCGTCTGGAACTGGGCTTCCAGTGGACTCGGTGCTGGGTGGTGCTGGGTACAGGCTCCGGTGTGTGAGCTGGGTGGAGCCAGGGCTGAGGGGACGGTGACCCGGGGGGGGGCAGGCGAGAGGCCTGAGGTTCCAGGCCTTGTGGGCGGGAGGCGTGGGCAGGTGGAACATTCTGTGACTGTGGGCCTGGGGGCACTTACCAGGAATGGAGAAGCCTCCAGGCCAGGAGCCCCGAAATAGGAGCAGTGCCCTGTCCAGAGGCGCAGTGGGGAGGGAGCTGGGCCAGGTGCTGGGGCTCCTGGGGGAACCCAGGGGGGCTGGGGCCTGAGACAGCTCTGGGGTTTAACCTTGATTCCCACCTGTGTTGTCCTCACGCTGACAGGGTCTGCTCAGCAGCAGGTGGGACGGTAGGTGTGGTGCGGGCCTCACCGCGTGCCGACCCTTGTGGGGCGATGCCCAAGCATGCTCTGGAGATGGCGCGGGGCCTGGTGTGGTCAGTGCTTCAGTGACCTGAGCTGCTGTGTGCGTGACCTCTGTGACCTGTCCGCTTCGTCGTTCTCGCCTGTCTGTGACCGCTCAGGGGGGTTTGGGCCAAGGGGTAGGAGGCCCCCCCACCCCTCACCCCTTTATTTGGGTTGTGCTGGGGGTGGGGTGGGCAGTGAGGCGTTTCAGGGCCAGTCCTGAGCATCCGGGAAGCGGGAGGGAGTTAGTCCTCATTGCAAGGCGGGGAAGCTGTCTCGGGTGCCTGAGACGGGGTGACTGGAGAGAGCCAACCTTGTGCTGGGGTTTCAGGTGCGCCCCCCTGGGGCGCCCGGACCTCTGACTCTGAAGGAGGTGGAGGAGCTGGAGCAGCTCACTCAGCAGCTGATGCAGGACATGGAGCACCCTCAGAGGCAGACCGTGGCCCCCAACGGTGAGCCCCTCGGCCCTGTACCCCCGTGGCAGCCCCCCCCACGCCCGCCCGCCGGGTGACCCACCAGCTGCCCCCTCCCGGCTCACACCTCCCTCCTGTTACCTCTCCTGTGGCCTCCCAGAGTTCTGCGGCAGCTGCCAGCAGCCCCTGGCACGGGCACAGCCGGCCGTGCGTGCCCTGGGCCAGCTGTTTCACATCGGCTGCTTCACCTGCCACCAGTGTCAGCGGCAGCTCCAGGGGCAGCAGTTCTACAGCCTGGAGGGAGCGCCCTACTGTGAGGGCTGCTACACCGTGAGTGGGGGCCGGGTCGGGCGGCCGGCTGCTGGGACGCGTCCTGGCCATCCTGGCCATCCTGACCATCGGCCCGCGGGTCCCTCCTCAGGACACGCTGGAGAAGTGCAACACCTGCGGGCAGCCCATCACGGAGCGCATGCTGCGGGCCACGGGCAAGGCCTATCACCCGCAGTGCTTCACCTGTGTGGTGTGCGCCTGCCCCCTGGAAGGCACCTCCTTCATCGTGGACCAGGACAACAAGCCCCACTGCGTCCCCGACTACCACAAGTGAGGGCGGCCAGCTCGGTCACCGCGGTTTGTCTGGGGCCGGCCCCGGCCTCTGTCCACAGCCGACGCGGGTGGCGGCCCCCAGCACCTGGACTCCGCTGTCCAGTGGCGTAGGCCTGGGACGCTCGCCGCCCCCCCGGCCCTGGGCACCCAGAGCCGCCTTTTGGGGTGGGCGACGTCACTGCACGCTGGGGCTCGGATCGCAGAGCTCTCTGGAGGCCAGCCGTTTGGCACGCAGGTTTCCCCGGGGAAGGAGTGTCTACTCCACGGCTACTTTCTCAGGCCCACCGGGCAGCCCCGGGTTCCGGCGCCCGCCCGGAACGTTTTTAGGTTCCCACCTGGGGCCGAGGTCCCCACCCTCCTCTGCAGACCGCGGCGGGGGTGGGCTAGGGTCAGCGATCCAGGGAAGGGGAATCCGGGGAGTGGCCTGTGTGATCCTTCTATGGGGAGTGCAGGGTGGGGGCCGGCACCAGGACGAGAGGCCCAGGAGCCCTAGGCGAGGGTGATGGAGGCAGACCACTCCCCTTCCGGGGGGCCACTGGGGGGCCCAGGCCTTTCTGCTGCCTCCCCCTCCACGGTGTGGGTTTCCTCGGGGGTGTGTCCATGGCCCCTCACTTACTCCTGCCTCCCCCCACCAGGCAGTATGCCCCCAGGTGCTCTGTCTGCTCAGAGCCCATCATGCCTGAGCCTGGCCGCGAGGAGAC